ATATATATATATATATATATATATATATATATATATATACACACACACACACATATATAACTTACAGGTCTAATTACCGAGAACTGCCCAATGGTCAGCTTCGGCATGAAGGGGTTTCCGTATGAGTAATTACGTATGATGTGAAATGACTCCCCTGGTGTTTTCATACTACACTGAAATGACTTACTCACTGCTGTGAATCACTGCCTACACAGAATCGAGTTGTACTTTTTTTGTCCTACGATTTAATAAAACTCCCTGTTCTTGGGGGGAAATCTTTGTACCCGGAATCTTAAACCAAACTAAAACAACAAACAGTATAGAACTTCCAAAGAATGGGCCCCTTCAGCGGTTCAACACTCAATTAGAAAGTAAATGGATTATAATCAAAGAAGAAAGGGAAAGGAATTAATCACAATTTAGAATAATGCATACTGATTGCTTTACTGTACACACTTTTGTTTGACAATGTTTTTTTTCTAGGGAGAATTTCATTTCTTCTTTATCGCCCTTTTAGCAGTGTTAGATCAACGCATTTGGGCTCCTTTGTGCACAGGACAATTAATAGGTTTCATTGAATAACAATTGAATTGTTATTATGCAGTTTCTGGAGTAATGTCCTTTGCATTCTCCTTGAATTAATGAAATATCGGATGCCCACAAATCCCCACATTTATTAATCCATCTCAATTTAAAAAATGGGGAAGTAATATAAATCACTTAACGAAAGATCTGAAATTATATGGAAATAAAATATTTTCAATTTTTTTAAAAAATTTGAATCATTTAAAGGTATAAAAATTGGAAAGACGACTTTTATGCAACCGCTCTACCAAATAACCAAATAGTTTGTTGTGTCGACGCTAGATGGCAGTCGCTCATAATACAAATATGGTTACGATTAAAATAATTTATTCGCCATCAAACATTTGCCGTTTTTTCGAGAATGTATACGCAAATTTATTTAATTAATCATTAAATCAACATTGCTTTGTTGAATAGCATTGCAATTTGATTATATAGTAAACGAAATGCAAAACGGCTGTTTGTGTCATGTTGAACTGTCCACGTTACTGATGTCCGCACTAAATTAAAATATTTTACTGCAATAAACAGGAGGATAAATTGGCTTAGAGTCAGGGTGACTTAAGTGGTCTCAGATAGACTGAAACATTGCAGCATGTTGCAACATGTTTCGTCCCCTGTAATGACGGACATACTCCACTGTGTGGCGACTTCAGTATAGTGCTTTCTAATAAACTACTGCGTTCGGGGTGACTGGGTACGAGACCTGAACGCAAAACATCACGCGACCTATTAACAAAATAACGTTTACGTTTTTGCACACTGATTTCTTCGCATTGGAAATCAGTCAACAAATCGCAGATTTTTACTTTTGTCATTTTTACAGAAATCTATAAAATATAGAAGCGAAAAAAATATTAAACATCTATCAAATATCAGAGATGTGCACAGATTTGTTTCAGTATTTGCAGTGCTACGTGGAATTTTAAATGTTTCCAAATACTTAAAATAATATACTGCGAGTGGAGATTTAGTAACGTGGATAATATAAGATGACTCTCTTCTGGCTTTTTGTAAACAGCTCTGATCCTATGACTGCAGACAGCTATAATTGTACGCGGTAGAATTAGATGAGAGCGATGAAAGTTCGAGGTAAAAGTTACGGGCGTTCGGTTGGATTCGAGAAGCAGAACATTTGAGAACCTAGAAGCGAAGGAAGCGAGGCGATAGAGGTATTGCTGAGGTGGATAACATTCGCGAGCATATTTTTAGTTTCTTAGTTACACAATATCAATACATGGGTATACTTGTCAATGGAAAAACACGAGGATAGTCAGGTGCTCGCATAACACAAACCCAAGTCATTGCAACCTTCCCCTCTAATTGCAAAGAATGTGTGTTTGCAAAGGCATTTGCTGTAAGCATGCAAAGTAAAGTTTGCAATCGATTAATTTGCAATTATTGGAATATTAACACATGATTTTATGATGATATTTTTTTTTTACCATTATGTAACGAATATCGTGGCACGTTAACATAAAGTAATTTACATTGTACACACATTGAAAAACGAATTTGACCTTTATTCTCCTGGTTTCTCTATCAAAGCTGAGTAATACATCAGAGGAATTTAGATAAACAGATTGTGTGTTATGAGAAAGAGAAGGTTCAGTAGGGGCGCAAAGAGGGATTCTCCAAAACGGCCCACGTGAGAGCCGGAGACGCGTTAGCGCAGGCATCCAATCGTAGCGGAGGGTGGGGATTCAATTGAAAGAGCAAACCAATGAGACGTATGCGGACACTAAAGTCACGCCCATCCTCCCGAAGAGAATAAAATAAGCCGACACGGATTGTTCCGTGCATTTGCCGAAACGCTGCTGAATAGCAACTTACACTGAGCGATACCGAGGAGTACAACTACTGCCGAGCTTTGGAATCGCAAACGTTGAAAACCAGCAAGGAAATTACTTGGATTACACATTTTGCAGACGGCGCTTAGAAGACTTAGTGCCGATCCGGGAATTTACCTTTTGGAGTTTATCCTACAATCTGTGGATTATATTTTACTTCAACATGACTCTGGAAGAAGTCGTTGGATGCAATATTACTGACAAAAAGTGAGTACTAACCGTATTCTGGCCAATCTTTCTCGTATGTACCGGTGCAATTAGGCTGTAAATCATTAGGTACATAATAACTCTCGTGCACAGAATGTAGTATTACATGACAAGCATTAGCAATTACTGATCGTATATTGGCATTAAAATTCGAACTGTTTTTAATCAAAGTTGTTTTCTTTTTAAGAATGGAAAACGTGGGTCAAGCATTGGAGGAATTGTTGGTTGCTGCCCAGCGGCAGAGCTGTCTCACCGTTGGAGTATACGAATCTGCAAAGCTGATGAATGTGTAAGTATTAATCTATGTTTTTCATAGCGTGGTTATTTTTAAGACAGTACGTGTGCATGCTCGTTATAGTTGCAGTATTAATGTCGCGATGTATTTCTCTTGTTCAGTGATCCGGACAGCGTGGTGTTGTGTGTCCTCGCCACTGATGAGGAGGACGAGGACGACATCGCACTGCAGATTCACTTCACTTTGATCCAAGCCTTTTGCTGCGACAACGACATTAATATCTTGCGCGTCTCCGGCTTGGGGCGGCTGGCAGAGGTCCTCGGAGAGCCAACCACCGCCGATAGCAACGCCAACGAGCCGAAGGATATGCACTGCATACTAGTCACTGTAAGTCACACCACGATGACTCATTTTCTATTAACCACGCACTCTGTATAGACTTGCTCACTGATGCGATGCCTTTGCAATTCCTGCCTATATGCATTTGATGATAAGAAAAGTGCAATGATTATTCCTTATGATTATCGTAATTGCAATATATGTGAACCTGGTACACTGAAAATTAAATTTCTAACTCCTTTATGTGATGTTGTTCTCCAGAGTCCTCATGTCGACACGCTTAAGTGCCAAGCGCTGAAGGAAGTGGGCACCTACTGCCAGGAGAGTCGTGGCAAAAACCAGTGGATACCTTACCTGACCCTGCAGGAACGCTGACTGAACCCGCCGGTGGCGTGTGAACGTGATACGGGAAAACCCAAGTCGTCATTCTTTAGGAAAGAGAAAGGCGTTCATAAGGAAGGCATGCCACAGTAACTGCAGCAGTACGCGGACGCCCGTGCATCTCCGGCTACGGAACATGGTGATGGAAGGAGAGAGAGAGATCTAAGGGACAACACGCTCTTCCTCCGCCAGACGGAACAATGGCGAAACCGGGGGGGGAAAGTGAGCCGTATCGGAGTATCGGAGCTGTTGCCTTCAAAGGACAGGGGCTGGCGGAACGGCCGAGGGCGGCAGTAGCGTGGGAGCCGACGTGCAGTTTCGATTTCTCGTGGGGGGAAACTGATACATATCCTACGTGTTACGTGGTGGCTGTACGCAGGCTGCTGGGTCCGAAAGCACCCATAATAAGTGGACTGACGAACAACATGCTATAAAAATGCAGAAGAATGAAATGAACTGTGCTTTGTTGTCGAATTGTTTTACCCAGTATGCAGATTCTCTTGCAATTAATGCTTTAAAAACATGCTTATACTTAGTAGTTGTGCAGCACAACAGATTTGTATTGCCCAAAAAGTGGGTTAAGGATATTTTACAGTGGAAGAATTATTTTATTGTAATGTTTTGTAATTTAAACGAAGATTAATATATAACAAATGAATGTGCAACAAAACACAAATGTGTGTTTTTTTTTAATAAATTATTTACTACAACTATTTTTGTCTTTTTGATGATTGTGGGTTTTCTGGGGGTTTTTTGAGATCACGTGAGCCATTGGAAGTTGTAGAGACAAAAAGAAATTGTGGTAGACACATTTGGAGATGCAGTATGTGAGAGATTCTCTCTTCCAGTATGCAAAATTGTAAATCAGAACTAGGCTACAGGGCAGAGCATACCACTACAGTGCACATATCCTGCCTGTGCTGTGATAATATTGTGAGAAATGCATCTGTAAGAGGCATTAGAATGTTATCCAGCATTGCACCAAACTGGCACATGTCACTTATTGCTGTTCACACATCTGCAAGATGAGTGATTGAATAGAATTTTCTTTCAGGAAATGTTTTCTCATCATATCATTAGTAGTTTTTGTAACCTTTGCCCCGGATTGGCTTTAATGGGATGTTTGATGTCCTTTAATCACCCAGCAAAAGTTTTTTAAAATCCTAATAAATCACATTTAAACTGTATGACCTAACAGACCGTACAAATGTAGCTAGAGTAAGACAATTTTTCCAAAGTGGACAAGGCTATGGGATTTCAGAGGCCGAAAGAGAAGCCACGTTTCCTGGCATCCTGGTACCTACGTCACGTCCTGTATGTCACAATGGTGTTGTGACACAGAGCCGAGCAGCAACTGGGAGGAGAGGCTCTAGTGAGCCGGTGACGCATGGCCAGTGTTTCATTTGGCAGACAAAAGCACAAACCGCAAACATGCTGGCCTCCCACAGCTGCATGTTCACTGGGACAAAGTTGACCTTCATCTCCATGCACATAAATTTATCGCTCCCCCGAATGGGCTCAGTGCTCGAGCACGTCGCAGCAGATGCCAAATGCTGCTTGCCCCTTGCTGGTCGATAACGCGGGTTTAGCACTGGGAATGCTCAGGTGTGCTGCATGGTAACTGGGGCCTCTGTTCTCTGCTGCTGGCTGGTAATGGTTCTTAACAGCTCATCTCTGTCAACAGCTGCTAAAACAACGACTCAGGGTGGGGGCGGGGGGTTGGCTGTAGCTGAAGAGACTCTGGCAGAGCCAACCAGGTCGTTGGTAAGTGCACAGAAAAAGACCACCTGTCTGGATGGAACTGGACATGTACAGTACAGCCATGCCCAAAATGTTCACCCCTGAGAAAACGATAACGTCACACATCTTCATTTAAACTGAAGCGTGTAACTGTCATACATAGACAGTCCATGTTTTTGCTCCCTGCCAGCTCCTGGTCAGAGGAGTGGAGGATCTGAGGCTAAGGATCTGTGCCAGCAATTGGAAAGTCACTGGTTTGAATCCGGTAAATGCCAGGAATGATGCTACTCTGCTGGGCCCTTGAGCAAGGCCCTTAACCTGCAATTGGTTCATCCTGGGTATGACGTTAATCTACATCCAGCCCTAAATCCAGCAACTTACAGGGAAATTTGAGGATTGGCGCTCCAGACAACACGAAAGAAAACTCACACTGGTCCATTCAGGCTAGTTTGGTGCTGAAGTATCACCCACTGCATGGCTGCACTCAGGTTTTCATCCCTGACGTGGTTTGTTGTGTGGTGGGTGCGGCAACATGCTGTAATCGGTGCACACCCCCTTACCTCAGCTCCTGGTAGCAAAAAATGTGGACTGTCTGGTGGTTCCCGAGCACTGAGCTGGGAAACACTGGGCTACTGTGTCTGCTTATCCACTGCAATATAGCTGCTTTTATTGGGACAGGATCTTGACAAAAGCACTCACTACTGCAGTGTTTCCCAACCCGGCCCTCAGGGACCCCCAGACAGTCCATGGTTTTTGCTACCATGAGCTGGGAGGGAGCAAAAACATGGACTGTCTGTGGGTACCTGAGGACCAGGTTGGGAAACACTGCACTACAGTATAAATGCACACTACCCAATGAAACGTGTCGTATGCATTGTCCAACTGGTTTTGTAAAAATACATATTCCTTAAGCCTTAAGTCCTGAGGGCCCTGAATGTACCCATTTCCTCTCAGTTTAAGGAGAGTGAATTTCTGTGGCACTATAACAGATGCATTTCTGTTGCAAGTACATGTGCATAATAAAAAATAGGGTGCTAAATTAATCATTTAAAAATGACAAAATATAAGTGAACACACTGTAATAAAAAGAATCACATTTTAAAACGATAGGAGAAAGTTCCCAATGAAAATGAAACATTTTGATTTATAAATAAGTTCCTCTTACATCCCACAGCACCAAACAGCAAGCTGATCTCTCTTTCTGATTCATCTTAATATCTCATATTTCACCGTGCCAAAGTTTTCAGCTAAAAAAGGTCATTGGTTCCATATTAAAGTTTCCTGGCCCAGCAAACAGCAAGGGGTTGAGCAAGGGCTTGAAACTGTACTTAGACAGACAAATAAACAGGCCTAACAAGGCTAAAGTCTGAGCCCCCACATAAACCTCCACCCCCAGCCTTTGTCTGTTTTCCAGTCCCAGACTGACACTGGAAGGAGGCTGCCCTTTTGACCTCTCCGCCAGACCCATGAGGTTACTTGGGCAGTGACACGGTCACTGTCACCTGCTCTGCTACATCAGCACTAACAACACGGGGGCTATGTGGCTCAAAGGGCCAAGTCTCTATGCATACGATTGGGAGGTTGCTGGTTTGAATCCTGTGCCCAGCAGAGTAGCAACATTTTTGTTGGCCCCCCAAGCAAGGCCATAACCCCCCCCCCCACGGATGCTGGCTAAATGGCGGACACTGTGCTATCAACTGTATAAACACATATGTCTCAAAGGAGAGAAGATGGTATATGTGAAAATTAAAGGATTCCAATGTTCTTCTTAAATGGTCAAATAAAGAACTTAATTTCACAGGACAGTGCAGGTAATAAGAGCATATTGTATGCAGGATCAAGAGGCTTACATCTTATGACTGACTACATGTATATTACACCCAGCTTTGCTACGGATGTATTTATTCTGTTCCATTATTGGGATTAGCTGCCTTGGTAACTAATTGCTTGCCAAGGCATCTGATTATATATTACATATCCAGCTTTACATATCATTTGCAAGCAAGCAAACGATAAAAAAACAGGGAAGACTTTTGTAATCTCGGTGTATCAGTATCAAAATTACTATAAATTGGTATTATTTTAAAAGTAGAGCGAACGCGTTACTAAACTGCATATTGCATGGCATTTCGTCAGGGCAATATTGCAAGCCTTTTGTAACACCCATGTTTGTTCTAAAACGAGTATTTTCGGACGGTGGAGAGCAAAATAACGCCCGAATGGGAAGCACGCATGCCCGCATACGCGTAGACTGTAGCGGAGCAAAGTCTACATCAGGCACCAAAAAAAGTCATATCGCCATGGAAACAATGAAGGGTTCACGGCGCGTTTATTTGTCATTACTTCTTCCAGCCAATCGCGTTTCCCTTCTGACGCGACTAGAGACGGTCAGGGGAACCTCCGGAAACGTCATTAACCAAATATGGTCAACATTTGCTCTCCGGTCATACGCAGTCTAAAATTAATATTAAAAGAGGTTTCCTGTTAAAATGTGTGTTCGATTATACACATTCCAAAAATAGCAACACGTAGGATATGTATCGAGTAAATCTCAATAATCATTTAACTCTGCGTAATGGGGAGAAATCATCTAAATATTCTTCTTACATATTTTCCTAGATTGCATTGATATACCTCTAAAGAAAATACTGCCATCCAGGTCGGAAAACCATATTAGGTTTCATAGTGTCTATTATGAAAAAAATCCAAAATCACCTAATCCCAGGCGTAATAACTATAACCATACAAATCACCGTTGTTACGCCTACCGCAACAATGTCTCATGCAGGAATGCAAAGAATGTCGACAGAAGCTTGTTCATTAACCGTGTTTAGTCTTTCGATTTGGAGTCAAATTTTAAGTCACAGCGAAATCATACACATGCACGTAACGGCACAACCCGAAATTCCACGGAATCAATATTCAAATAAAATGTAAGTCGGCGACGTTAAGATGCTCAATGCAGCAGAAGCCGCGTCCAAACGCGAAAGATGTAAGAAATTAACATCTGCTAAGACACAATCAACCGGAAAATGGGACACCGATCATAACAGGAAAATGTGCCACCACGATAATGGGCAAACCAAAGGAAGTCGAAAGCTGACATTTAACATGCCATTGTTTTATGTCAGGACAATACGAAGCTCTACCCGTGAATACTTGTATTATATGGGCTATTTATATGTAATATTGGTATTTATTAATGACAGGAGAAATTATAGGTTTCAAAAATTCGAGTGTGAGGCTGTCGTGCATAGCCACGGACGGCTGTTAAAGACTTGATGTTGGATAATATATTGGAATTAGTTGTCTGAAAGCAGATAGCCACTGTGTACAAACGTATACGTTTAACATGTCACTTCCACTTACAATCAGCAAGACAAAACCTATTAAGATCGTATTCAAGATCATTACTAACAGTCGAAAACCAGTAAACGTACAAAATCAGATTGATTCTAGTGTTCGATTATTAGTGCATTTCTGAATGTGAAATTCTGTGGAAATTTTTGGGAAATGAGGAGAGGGGGTCATCATGTTGGGAAACGCTTGCATGAAAAACGATTAAAATGCTTTTCTTTTGATACATGACGACTTACGTCATGCACATTACACGTTTGCCAACAGTACATGCATTTGGGTCTGATCTATTCTAGCTGCTTTTCAGTTGTTGTGCCCAATTCTACTGAATCAAGCCTCCTCGCCGACGACCCGCTAAACCACCACCAAGGTGAACGGCTTGGGCTCGCCAGAAAAGCATCTGTTTGTAGATTGGAGGTCAAAGTAAAAAATAAAAATGAGAGGACTCCAGGTGGAGTTTACGGCCTGTTACCGTCTAGCTTTAATTTAAACCAAATCAAACGGAGACCGAAAGCAGCGGTCTGTGATCACACAAGTTAATGTCTCGTTTGGAGAGTTTAATCAGGGGGCGATCGATCGGTGGTGCGCACACACGGATTACCACACGGATTACCGG